AGTATCACTATGGAAGTAGATTGCCCAACCTTCCTTCCGAGGAGTGGCTGGTGGGTTTGAATCACCAGCCTTCTGGTTAGCAGTCAAATGCCTTAGGCATGGCAAACAGGAAAACCTGGATTAGTCTTCTTTACCAATAAGGAATGGTTTGAATAGTGCTTTCTTGTGGGAGTTCAAGACTACTTAAAAGAAAAAATCTCTTGAACTCTGAGTCCTGATAATTCTTCACAGTCCTTTTGGTGCCTCAGATGCATTTGCCAATATGCATCCTAATGGCAAGATTATTTTTATAACCAGCCACATGTCTCAGATCCATCAGTCCATAGATCAATGTTTGATCATGCTTTATATATATATATAAAACTTTGCTGTATGAAATCTAGCAAAAGGTCCTCTGTCCAGTGCATAGGATTCTACACCATCACTAACGCTGTGTTATTAATAAAAGAGGCATTAGATAGTTTAACAAAGCTCATCCTTAATGAAGCCAGGGAGAAGATTTGGCTAGATATGGCACAGTATTTTTCAGCAATCCCTCTTGAAGACAAAGAATCTTTGGATCAAGAAAAAAAATCTATGGATGAGGATGAACATTTGGCATAGGAGCAGTCTTTGGCTGAAGCTGAGTCTGAGCCTGTTGACATCAATTCAAATGATGTGATACTGATAGAGGACGGTCCTCGAGAATTTTCCAGTGCCCCAGAAGTTATCATCATAAGTGATAATGAAGATAACGAATAGACTTCAGGACCAGAGACAAATACAATTATAAGCCACAGGGGCAAAATTCTAGAAGAAGATCAAAGTCACCCCAAGAAAGCAATGAATATTGAAATCTTATATGTCACATTTTATCTGTTCCAACCTTGAATGATTTAGTAGAACTCTATAAAGAGATACTATGATGCCTTCAAAGAAAAAAAATCATATTGTACAGAAACCATCTTCAGCAAACTTAAATCAAGTCCTGCTACTTAATACCATTGCTGGACAACTCATCAGTTGTCTTCAAACAAAGCTTGAATGATTTTATTAACTGTATAAAGAAATGCTAAAGTGTCCTCAAAAAATATTTTAGAAGACAGAAAGCATTATCAGAAGAGCCAAAGTCATTTATTAGTGCCACTTAAATTCACTTGCTCAATAGAGCTAAAGCCACAAGCAAGGTGTTAAAATTTAAAAATTGGACTTAGGTGACTCTGGGAGTATCAGGATCCATGATTTGAAATAACAGTTCGTCTCTGTCTTTGCTTCTCTATCACCCCCATTTTCTACTACCATAATGTGTGATACATCCTCATCAACTCTGGAAATTATCTCAGGATCTAAATGATAGAGCCCATCATTTTTACTAATTTAAGCTATGTAAACCCTCATTCTTTTCATGTAATATACTGTTATCATTGTTCTATCTTACTGAGCATAAAAAAAGATTTATGAGAGCTTTCAAAATTCACTGCGACCTCACCCTGCCTGCTGTTTTTTTTTTTTTTTTTTTTTCCTCAGAAGATAATAATTTCCTCAGGTGAATTCTCCTACTTTGGGGGTTGTTCAGGAACCCAACCCTCACAGGTTAGGAGGGATTGTTGTTGCTGTATTCCTGCCTCCTAGTGACTGTTTGGGAAACACCATAATCAGCCTTTAAAACTAATGGGAAGAGCGCTGGGCTTGGGCTCTGGAGATCCGAGTCCAAGCCCTAGTTCTGTCACTGATCATTGTGATGGGGCCAGTCACTTAGCTTCTCGGAGCCTTAGTTTCCTCACCTGTTAAATGGGAATAAACATGAAAGTGCTTTTAAAAGTAAAATTTTAAACTACTAAGTAAAGGTTGGGCAATCCTACTTCCGTAGTGATAACTGCCTCGGAAACCCAAGGAGGGGTCGCTATGAGTCGGGGCCGACTTGACGGCACATAACAACAACAACAACAAGTAAATGTGGGTTATTATTACATTTGTATAATTTGTAAAATTCTAGACCCTACAAACAATCAAGCAAAAAACTATAAAGTGGCAAGGAGTTTAGAATCCTCATTTTTTATAAAGTAACTTCCCCCTAGCTAGAATTTTTATGTCAGTTATAGAATTTTCTTTTTTAATGAAATTTAAAATTCTGCAGCCCAAAGATAACAGGAGTAGTATATTTCCTCTCAGTCCACTTTTTCTCGTCGTACCAAAATTTTATCAATGTCACAAATTTAGGAAATAAAAATCATCCAAAATCAGAAATCTCAGAAACAAACAACATTTAACATTTTGGTAGATTTCTTTTCAAATGTGTTCTATGGCTGTACATACACATATGATTTTTTCCATAGTTAATATACTAATATATACAGTTCCAAATCCTGCTTTCCACTTGATATTTATGTCATAATTATTTTCCTACATTTTAGAAACATCTTCATAATATCATTTTTGATGGTGTATAATATTTCATCATATTTAACCATTTCCTTTTATTGGATAGTTGAAGTCCTTACCCAATTTTTGTTATTCTAAACAATGTCACAATGTCTATTTCATTATTTAAATGAAAATACTAGCTTTGGTGACAGCAGAGGGTATTTTACTTTTTATTTTTATTTTTTAAAGAAATCTCTAGAGTAGCTGTATTTCGTTGACCAAATGGAACTTCAAGAGATAGGTAGAAGAAAAAGATGTAGTAGATGTAAGGGAGCTCTGGTAGCATAGTAGCTAAGACACTTGCCTGCTAACCAGATGGCTGGCGGTTCAAACCCACCAGCCACTCCTCGGAAGGAAGGTTGGGCAATCCTACTTCCGTAGTGATACTGCCGCGAAAACCCAAGGAGGGGTCGCTATGAGTCGGGTTTGACTCGACGGCACATAACAACAACAACAAAAGTAGATGTAATCTCAAGATTGAGCATCTCTGTTGGAGAATTCCAGGATCTGGATCTTGGTCCTAGAACAAATTAGGAAGGACAATTTGCCACCATTTTATAGAAAAACATTCAGGATTTAGACCAGGAAAAGGACATCCTGCACAAGTGATACGATTTTATTTTATGGACCCTGTGAAGTATGGGACTGATCAGGTTTCTTTTTTGTTGTCTACTAGAAAGCTTTCTGAAGGAAGGTCGGGTAATCCTACTTCCGTAGTGATACTGCCTCGGAAACCCAAGGAGGGGTCGCTATGAGTCGGGGCCGACTTGACGGTGTGTAACAACAACAGAAAGCTTAGAGCCAAATGTTTGTCCCATGCATGGCACTTACAATGGGACCCTATGGTGTATATGCATCTTTGCATTAGCTTTCTGTCAGGCTGCATTTTATGTTCCTTTTTTTTTTTTCATTTTATTTCCCTATCTACTCTGAATTTATGCTATCCTGCTGTATTTTGTGTATTC